TGACTCTTGCTGAGCCGTTTGCTTTGTAATCACATTAAACGTTAAGAATTCGTGACATCTCTGGAGAGCAATTTTTACTCCTTCCTACCTCTCCTGTCACTTTCTGCACTTCTCAAGCTTAGTGTTTCCTCTCTTTCCCATATCTTGTCTTTTCTCTTGCTGATACCCACTTTGCTTCCTTTCATACTCTGTTTTTCTTACAGCCATTTTTCACAGAGCAGATGAACAGTTCCTCACAACCTTCTGTGCTGCATCAGGACACTGTCTCTAACTAAACACTGTTCAATGCAGTTGTTTGAAACAGGAGTCCTGCATATAATACTAAACAGTAAATACTAATGCCGAGTCAATGCACAGTGTTTGATGGAGTGAGTCCATTGGAATCACAAGTCATGTCAATGAATGCTACAGAGATAGTTTTGGTAAACTATAAGCAGTGTAATAAATTGAGATACCTTATTTAATTATTTTTATATATCTGTGTCCACAGGGCTATGGTTGAATTCTGGATTGAACATTTTCAATAATTTATAGCATTTTAAACCCTGGGTACTATCTTTAAAAGGGAGGGGCTGCATCATGTTCAAGGGGTATCGTTCTCAGCAGTTATTAAATGAACTGCTCACACCCACCTGTGATGCCCAGAGATTAGCGCTCAACAAGAAGGAAGTGTACAACTTGATTTGAAAATGTTTTTTGCGTTGCTCGTTTTACTATTTGGTGCTAACTGATTCACAGTCTTGCTAATAAATTTTAAAGCTCCCCAGTGAACAGAGGACGCAGGAAAATAGGCATGAACATAAAAACAGTTTCCACGTTGCTCAACTTCAGCATTGAAATTTAACTCAAATCCGCAAGTGAATTGGAGTGGGCTGCCTTAAATTCCTACTGGAAGGCAGGCAATTTTGAAAGACGATGTGAGATAAGCCAGGAAACTGCTGCACTGTTTAAAAATTCCTGAAAATGTTTCAAAATCCAGTTGATAGGACTTGGGCAGCTGTGCAGTTCTAGGGAGCTGCCATTGAAATGATGCTTCCAAGAGGAAATGCAGCATGACCTGTGTCAAGCCTGAAGGATGGGAAACGCCAGGAGCGGAAGGTTTCCACAGATGGCTTGAAGTGTCACGGGCAGAAATGCCGCCTGCCTTCCCCACGCCGAGCTGCCAAGTGCTTTGCAGTGCGCAGCGCTGCCGTGAGGCTTGTGGCACCCGCTCCTTCACGAAACGCTGCACCCATGAAACCTCACCGGGAAGCGCAAATGCTTTCTGAAAAGCATAATATTATTTTAAGCATAAATTACTTTGAAACACAGTAGCTCGAGATCCCTTGCTCCAGAGAAGCAGATTTTGCAGGCAGGGTCCTTATCGTCTGCTCGGTGGGAACTGCATTAATGTTGCCACAAGAATGCAAACAGTAGTGCCTTTGATTGAGGAAAAAAAAATGGCATTCTGAAACAGTGAGATGTTTGGTTTTTGAAGGATATGACATTGTTTGCAGTTCTGTATGTGCCAGCTTATGGAAAAAGATGCTGGTTTTGTTAGCGTTTGTAGGGTTGAGGCTGCCGGGACCATCGCAGAGTGATGCGTGTGAGGAGCAGAGTGCCGGAAGGCTGGCTGTGGATGTCTGTGGCAGAGATGCTGCGGGCCCGCGGCTGCATCGCTGCTCCCAGGCAGCCCCGCGCCGGGATCTCCTCCTCGCATAGGATTTACTGCCCTCTTCCCCTCACGTGTCAGGGGGAAGCTGGTCCCCGGTGCTGCCTGGTTCCAGTGTGGAGGAGAGGAGTGTTGCTGGCCATACAGTAGGCATCTTTGTGGACACCGTGAAAATGTCTTTGAGTACTTTCCAGCATCCCCTGGGTGTTATATATTTGGTTAGTGCATTATTTTGATTTTAAAGCTGCCTTTGGTTCAAGAATCCTGAAAGGAAGCTGTTGTGCAACTGTTTTAATCTGGTTTTACAGGCTGATTCCAGCTTGATTCCTAGTACAAAGAAACAAAGAGGAGCTCAGTTTTACTTTTGATAAAAGAAGAAAAAAAATACAAGGCCCTCCTCCTTTAAAGATCTGTTCTAGAATGTTATGTTTAGAGAGTGATTTGCTATTGTTTAATCTCTGTAATGACACTGGGATTGGATTAATCATGGGTTATTTTTCTGAATCGTTCTGGTTTGGCACTCACAGCTACTGAGTATAAAGCCAGGTCTTCATCAGATGTAAACTGGCATTGCTCCACTCAAGTCAGTGGAATAAATCCACTTTATATTGTGGCAGCCCAGATGCAATATTATAGCTATTTCTAAGAAAGCACCCTTTTTGGAGTTTTTTTGGCCTTTAATCTTTTTTTACTGTTATTTTTAAACTGTCATTAACTTCCAATTGCATTATATTTATGGTAGCTTAGCTAGCTGTTGTCCGTAGGTCACCTCAATTGGGCCTAGGGGGGATAAACAAAAGGTGGAAAGCCAAAATCAACTCTAAATTTCTTTGCTTTTTCTGTTTAAGAGCTGTCTGTACCGCCAGGAGCGTAAGCAGCTGTCAGTGGGAAAAGTTAATTACTCACCTCATTCACCTCTCGGACGCTTTTGTGTACTCTTACACATCTTTACTCAAGAACGCCTTTCGTCAGAGGTTCCTTGTGGTGACTGCGTTGCCATCGGGGGTGACAGTGCAGCAACGTTGCGTTATCGCAGCGAGAGTGCTTGGGAGCTCCTCACTAATCCCAGATCTGTCTGAAGGGTAGCATGAAGCTCTTGTGTGGAGACCCTGCAGGGCCATGCAGGGCTGCTGCCGTGGTGGCAGTTATCAGAAGTGAGTTATGGGGCTGAAAGCGAGGCCAGAGGCACAAGGGGCAGCGGAGTGTTTGCTTTCAGGCCTTTGACTTTTAGTATCTTTAGTGTCTGTAGATGTGTAAATGACAGCTATATCAGTGATCCTGTCCCTGATGCCATCTTGCTACTTCAAGGAGCTCTACTGCTGACCTGCTATTATACCTGTGGGTTCATTAGCTTTAGTTGGCTTCTTAAAAGGAGAAAGGAGATGGGAAGCCTTTTGGATTTCTTTTCTTCCTATTTAATTAGTGCTTTATATTCTTTGGTTCTTTTCAGACATTTAGAAAAAAAATGCTTATATTATAAAGAAGTCAGCTTTAATCTGTAATGCAGTCATGCTTCTCTAGCTGGTTGTCTGTAATTGTGAGGGTCTGCCAGTGCAGCAGGGAGACCTGATGGATTTGGAAAAACCCAGACCAGCTTTCAGGTTCATCCTGGGTATCTGTTCAGAGGAAAAAAGACCTGCTGTAGATCTCATACTTGTAGATGCCCACGCCTTGTGGTCTGGTTAAACACTTTTTTGACATGGGATGGAGAATGTAAGACCCAAGTGAAGACTGGCACTTACACTGAAGTCAGATATCCTTCATTTTGGATGGATGAAGTGCTTGCATAGGTGAAATCCTGCCCTCCCTCCTTCCTCTATATATCAGTTAGTCTAATAAAAGGACTGATCACTTTT